TTCATAAATGCTTTTGCTTTCTGAAGGAGCTGGAAGTGGCCGCTGAGGCTAGAGTATTGTTTAAGTGAAAGTGTCACAAGTTGAAAGGTTAAAATGACCCTGCCTCCTTCTACTTGTGCTCCTCCTACTACAAAGCAGTCATATAAATCAAATCATCTTACTTCTCTGCTTCAAATACCTTAATGGATTCCTCATGCATTTGAAAGCATTCAAATGCATGCATTTCAAAGTCTTCCTCATAGCCTGTGTAGCCTCAAGTGCTCTGGCTTCTGTTTATCTCCTTAGATTCGTGACAGACTCTTTCTTCCCTCCTGCTCTTCATATTGTCCTTTGCCACTTCCTAGAACTCTTCAAACTCTTTCCCATCTCAAGGTATTTGCAGTTTTTTAATTCTATGCCAAGAATATTTTCTTCATTGGGAGAGGGGTGGTCTTTGCACAGCTTCCTCATTCTCTTCCCTCAGGTTTCAGCTCAAACATCATCTCCTCAGAGGGCTCTTTCCTAACTACTTTTTCATTATATATCACAGCCATCTACTTATTTCCTTTCTGTGATCTGTACTTGTCTATTGTACTTCTTCTATAATGTAAGTTGTAGGATGGCAAAAACCGTATTTGTCTTCTTCATTGTTCTCCAAAGTCTACAAAGTACCTTTCACAAGGTAGATTGGAATATAATAAATAGTTGTTGAAAAAAAGAATAAATGAACACTTGAATAAAAGAAATGGCATTGGAGAAGCAGGGTTTTATAAACCATCAAAAATAGACTAGATTCTTTTCTAAGTGTAATGGGAATTCAAAATTCTTATAAACAGGTGACTGAAATTATATAATATATGTTTCACAGGAAGATTCTGAAAGCTATGGAGAAAGATTTTTGAAGTTGGACAGCTGGAAAGCAGGGGAAGTTGGGAGGCCATTGCAATGGTCCAGATCAAAACAGAAAACAGTCATAGAACAGAAGAGAGTATTTACAGTGGGAAGGGAGAGAGATTGAGAATCTGGATCAATGTGTGGGAGGTGTCAAGAGTTATCCCAGTGTGTGGGAGGTGTCAAGAAAAAGGTGTCAAGAGTTATCCCAATTCTTGGTTGGGCAAATGAGTAGGTATTGATGTATTTGACTAAATTAGGAAGGAAGTGTAAGGATCAGGCTAACAGGAAAAACTAGAAAGATAAATTTTCAGAATATTGAGTTTATAAATCTGTAAGTTTATTATTTGTGACGTTTGACAGTGAAGAATGTTAGAGAAATAAGGAAGTAGTTGACAGAGGTGGGGCACCAGCAAAGGTGATATTGACAAGCAGTATCTCCTAAATTCTGCTGATGAGAAAAATCACCTTGAGTTTTTAATCAAACTTTGAAATTCCATTCCCCTTTCCTAGAGTTTCTGAATATCAGTAGCTTGGGATAGGCCTTTATATTATGTGCCCAATATGTTCCCCAGGTGATTTTTATCACCAGGAAAATGTGAGAAACAACATAGTAGAGTATATTTCTATAGCAATGATGCTGCAAAAAGAAAGAGCCTGGGTATGTAGAAGAAAGAGAGAAGAAAGGGAGATAGGAAGAAAGAGAAAGTAGAGGATTTACCCCTGACAAGTAGAAAGACCCATCCTCTTACAATTATATGATCTGAAGAGAAACCAGAGTATTCTCTTATAATTAGAGGAAAGAAGGTGAAGGTGCCATTTAATTTTTATTTTGTTGTTGAAAGTTCCCATCTAATAACTTTGTATTTTCTCAGTAAGTATTTGGCCTCCTTAGGACATCAGTGAAAAATCAAAGGGAGGAATGAGTTTAATCAGTTATAAAAAAGATGAAATAATCATTGTCAAGAATAAAAAGCAAATTTTCTAAAGTAAAAACATTCTTGACATTGTTGCATATTAATGTGAGGTTGTTGGTAATAAATTCATAATGACAAAATATCACCTGTTGCGTGTTTTAAGGGCAAAAAGTAAAAAGTCAATACAATTGCTCAAACTTCTAGATTTAGTCAATTAAGATAAATGGCACTTCCTGGAAAAATCTTTATATTTTCCCTGAAATTATATCTTGTGATAAAATACATTGAATTTATTCAGATCTTAAAGAATATATATCAGGAAAAAAGTATTCAATGTATTTCAATAAGAATGGAAAAAAATTATCGATATATATTAAGGTTTAGATGCTAGGACATAACCTGACATGCTATGATTTAATATTAATACTATTTTCCTCTATAAAATTTGTGTTAAATATCCCTACATCATCTTGCATGAGTTAGCTTTATATTGATAATACCATCCTGTGAAATGGTTTAGATGTCCTTTTTATGAAAGGGAAAGAGTTGAAAACATGTTCCTCTTTGCTATGATTACAATTGTGTAAAGATCAAAAGAAATGGCTTTAGGGAACAAAATGAAGACCGTATGGCCCAGGGAAGGACAGGTTTCTTATCCTGTTAGTTGTTAAACTGTCGGGTGGATTTCAAAAAGGTCTGTATAGTCTGTGTGAAGTTTAGGATAGAGATTTATCCTTATGGGATAAGTTATAGATAGTTTTATCTAAGGATCTATTACTAAATTCAATCTTAATGACCCCAAATGTTATTTCCACACTGAAATTAAGGCTTTGGTTCAGATTCTCCTCTTCATCTTGCTCAAATATAAATGTAAAAACTCGATAATATGTGCTCAATATAATCAACCCAAAATGAATAAACTTGGAATCTGATGCTATAAAATCCCGAGAAGCAAATATGGGGAGAGAACTCCATGACATTAGTCTTGGAAGCAATTTTGTGGATGTGACACCAAAAGCACAAGCAACCAAAGCAAAAATAAACAAGTGACTATAACAAGCTAAAATTTTTCTTCACAGCAAAGGAAATAATCAACAAAACGAAAAGACAATCCACAGAAGGGGAGAAAATATTTACAATTTATATATCTGATAAGTGGCTAATATCCAAAATATGTAAGTAACTCATACAACTCAATAGCACAAAAACAAATAACCTGATGAAAAAAATGGGCAAAGGACATGAATAGGCATTTTCCCAAGGAAAACATACAAATGGCCAATAGGCATATGTAAAAGTGCTCAACATCAGTAATCATTAGGGAAATGCACATCAAAACCACAAAGAGATATCATCTCATCATAGCTGTAAGGATGGCTATTACCAAAAAGTCTAACGATAAGTGTTAGTGAGGATGTAGAGAAAAGGGAAATGCAAATTAAAACCACAATGAGATATCATGTCACACCTGTTAGGGTGGTATTATCAAAGAATTTAAAGATAACAAGTGTTAGTGAGAATGTGGGAATGTAAATTGGGACAGCCATATGGAAGACAGTATGGTTTCTCAAACAACTAAAAATAGAACCACTGTATGATCCAGCAATCCCACTTCTGGGTACATATCCAAAAGAAATGAAACCAGTATCTCAGACAGATATCTATACCATTATGTTCATTGCAGCATTGTTCATTGTAGCCAAGATATGGAATCAATCTCAGTATCCATTAACAAATTAATGGATAAAGAAAATATTTAAATGTTAAAAATGTCAACGTTTTATTCATTTTGGACTGGGGACATTAATTTTGATTGCTTGAAATATTGCTTTAAATATCATTGATTCATCCTTTTAGAAAATCTGATACTTTTAAAGCATAATTAATTGAACTTTTAATGTGTATATATATATAATCACAAACACACATACATGTATACACATACTGCTTGATCTTTAAAGAGAGAACTTAAGGTGAAAAACAAGAAATTCCCCATGCATTGAATGCAAGCTTTAGTCACTATGCTTTGTAGCAATGGAAACTACAAGGAAGGATATTATTAATGAAAACTAGAAACATCCCAATTAAGAGTAGACATAGAGAACTAACTTGCAAAGAATGTAGAAAGCCCACAGTGATCATTATAGAGAGAACTCCATTGTACGATCAGGGTATCATTAGACTCACTAGTCTTTAAGCCACTGAGTGAGTGCTCACACAGCTGAAGTGCCAAATAGGTTTGAAGTGCTTCTGTCTCTAGTTGTCAGGATGAATGCTTTTACAAAGCATGAAATATGTACTAGCTCATATGATAAATCAGAAAGAAAAAGTAAAAGTCTGTAAGAACATACATCATCAAAATATAAAAGAACTGTTTTACTCTTAAGTGTACAATGAGAATCTAAGTTATTAAATAAGATAGCTTCACCTTTAATTTCTCTCAGATATATCAAATACATTAACACTTTTTTTTTCTCATATGTTCCTGACAAAATTCATCTTTTTTTCCCCATTTCTCCCATTGTACTTTGTAGATACAGTGTAATTCACATTCTTCATAACCACTATGAGAACTGGTGATTCTTAGCTAAGAAGAGTAAGCCTAAAATTTAATACAGTGTACATTCTGGATTGCATTATAGCTGTGATGTATTGACATTTATATTGTTGTACAGGGGCATTGACTTTATTTTACTGTTAGTTTTATCTTCTTTAGGGTCTAGCAGAGTATTTGGTACCCAATAGGGATTAAATAAATGTTTGTTTAATTAAGTGGGGGAATTTGCATTCCGCTAGCTGGTGCAATATTTTGAATATATATGTTTATATATATTCAAATATATATATATATGTATATTTTGCTTTATTTTAAATGAGGAAAGAATCAGGACTTCTTTAATCACGGAAAGTGAAAAGAAAGTATGTGTCCATGTCCAGCATTCCTGTTTCTCAAAAATGTATGCATGAATGTGGAATCATTTGTAGTCAAGATGGAACTTAAAAATATCTCAGAATTTCTCATCATTACTATTAAGCAGCATGAGAATCCCTTCTAAAGATTAAAAAAAGAAAAGGAAAAGACATCTCTCTAGTTTTGTGTAATATGAGTTCCAAAGAATGCATTTGGAGAGTGAGAGGAAAAAATTAACACCTCAGAGGTAGCAAACACATGAAGTTCAGAGTGAGTGCACAAAACAAAGTCTGATGTGTCACCTTGCTGCTGCACTGGTGATGATCTTCAGGCTGCCGGGATTCCGGATAAGCTTGTCCAGAATACTAACAATCTGCTCAAACTTAGGTCTGTTGTTTCTGTCTTTCTGCCAGCAGTCCAGCATCAGCTGATACAAGGCAGCTGGGCAGTCCATGGGAGGTGGCAGTCGATAGCCCTCATCCACAGCTTTAATTACCTGTGTGAGAAGCAAAGTTTCCAGGGACTTAAGAAGTCAGACTTACTCTACTTCTTCATAGATAAGGTTCACTAATTTGTATTTTAAAGTTAGGTTAAAAAGTTCTCATTTGAAATTGCCTAAAAGAATAACAGCTTATCAAATAAATAAGAAATTATTCATACTTTAAAATGTTATATAAAAGCATATTAAAAGAGAGAAAGTGAATTTAGGAAAGAAGAGTTTGCAAAGATCCTTGTCAGACTAAAATAAAAAGAAATGTTCAATGATACAGGACATTTGGTGCCATAAAGAAAGCATTATATGATCATATAGATCTCTATGGAAGGAGTAAGGAGTAAGTGAATGAATGTAGAGAAAATTAGTATACAGATTCTAGTTATGTCACAGTTCAAATGGTCCCTTCCGAATCATAGTAACTTCCTTTGGAAAAATCCTTTGTGCTGTACAATTAAGTAACTATCAGTTCATTCGTATTTTTACATCATATAAAGCAGCGATTTTCAAACTTTAATGTCCATCAGAATCTATGGGTTATCTTGTTGGTCACTTATTTCATTACATTCTTATTAAAATGTTTCCTTTTGTGTCATTTCTAAACCCCTGCTTGAAGGAAATGTATAAACCTCTAAGAGCATTTCCATTAATACCATTGCAGTACTTGTAGACAGTTTCATTTCTGCTAAATATTCTATTTCAGTGGCACAAACTAGGAGCCACCTGGTTTCATTATGCTCCACTTCCTTACACAGCTTGATCTTTTAATCTGAACCCATAATTTATAGACTAAAAATACTTACATCCTGATTGGACATCTCCCAGTATGGTCTCTCTCCATAAGACATCACCTCCCAGAGAACAATTCCATAACTCCATACATCACTGGCTGATGTGAACTTGCGGTAGGCTATGGCTTCTGGTGATGTCCACCGAATAGGGATCTTCCCTCCCTTTGAATATAAAATCATTTAAATGTAAATGAGCAATGTATAGAAAATATAATATATGTAATATGATCTGAAATCTGACAGAATTTGTTAAGGCATTTCTGTTCTGAAATGGAATATGAGTTTCTGTTAAAATATTTTGAAGTTATTCTGTTTTTATACCAACCAGGAGTAGCATACCATTTACAGCAAACTTTACTTCCAATGTCGAAGGATTTTAAAATCAGGAAAGGAAAAAAATAGAAACATATTTAAATATTGATATTTTATATCAACTACAGAACATTAATTAATCATTTGCAACAAGACAACCTGAAGTATATGAGATATAACATATTATTAGTATTGAAAGAAGTATCACAAATCAACCTTTCTTGATTTAACATAGATTTATGCTTGACCAACCAATCAAAGTTTAGAATGTGAATAAGTCAATATCAATATTTGTAAAGAACTTAAACCACTTGTTGGCACCTAAGTACTTATAGGTATTTGGTAACTAAATAATCTCAAAATAAAAAAATATACTTGAGAAAACTCTCTTTAATATATTAATCATCTTGATTAATTTATTGAGTGCCTCATTCCATCATTAATCATTGAAGTGCCTTCCATGTACTAGGCAGGCATCATATGAACTAGATAAACATTAAAACTACATTCTCAGAACTTGTAGTCTAGAGGAGATTAATACCATTTTTATGAGTTATGAGAAATATAAAAGTATAACTTCTATGGCATTTGCTCTCAGTTTAATAAATACATTTAAGAAAGATGTACCAATTTTCAACCATACAAGGAGTATTATTACACTAATTACTTTGGGTGAGAAAATTGTAAGTAACATATTGATTGGTTCTTTTGTTTGGCAATTTTTAGGCAAATAGAGGTAATAATTAGTTGCTGTGAATAACTAAATACAGAAAGATAAGTATCTAGTGCAATGATCTTCAAACTTCATAGTGCATATAAATCAAGGCTCACTCCTATTAAAATAAAAATTTTAATTCGGGAGGTTTAGGGTGTAGTCAGTGTCTACATTTCTGACAAACTCCAGACCATACTGATCTTGCTGATCCATGTACCATACACTGAGTAAAAAGGCAACAGTGGAAGCTACTATGGATATGGAACATGGAGTCAAGATTTTTCCTAGAGAAACTTGGGTTGCTCATGAATTAAGAGACATCAATTTCAAGTGAAGTCACTTGAAAGGTGAGTACAATTTTTTGACATAAGAAAAAAGGGATTATCTATCACTTCAAGCATTTATCATTTTGTTGTGTTAGGAACATTCCAATTCCACTCTTTTAATTATTTAAAAGTATATCCTAACTTATTATTGATTACAGTCACTTTGTTGTGCTATCAAATATTGTTCATTATATCCATCTAACTATATTTTTTGCACCCATTTACCATTCCCACTTTCTTCCCGCCACTTCCTGCTACCTTTCCCAGCCTCTAGTAACTGTCATCCCACTGTCTGCATGAGATCAATTGTTTATAATATTTATCTCCCACTATTGTGTCCATAATAATTAAAAATAAAATTTAGGCCAGGCGCGGTGGCTCACGTCTGTAATCCTAGCACTCTGGGAGGCCGAGGTGGGTGGATTGCTCGAGGTCAGGAGTTCGAAACCAGCCTGAGCAAGAGTGAGATCCCGTCTCTACTATAAATAGAAAGAAAACTAATTGGCCAACTAATATGTATAGAAAAAATTAGCCAGGCATGGTGGCGCATGCCTGTAGTCCCAGCTACTCGGGAGGCTGAAGCAGCAGGATTGCTTGAGCCCAGGAGTTTGAGGTTGCTGTGAGCTAGGCTGACGCCACGGCACTCACTCTAGCCTGGACAACAAAGTGAGACTCTGTCTCAAAAAATAAATAAATAAATATAAAAAAAAATTAGAAGAAGAAAAAAGGGATGGATGTTTCAAGGAATTCACATCAGCAAAATTCTAAGCCATATTCATGAAAATTTGTTCCATTGATATTGCACCTCATAGTGTGTCACTGGTTTTGAAGTCATGCTGAAGAGAGGCAATACAGTGCTTTATAGAGACAGCTGCAGCTTCGGACATAAGTCATTAAACCTCATTATGCCTGAATTTCTTCATTTGTTATTTGGCAAAGTAATAGTACTGATTCATAATATTGTTGTTGGGGCTAAGCGACACATTTTGGAAAAATCTTTAGCGTTGTTACCGTACATATTATAGTAAGGAGTCAAGAAACATTAGTTTAACACTCCCACATTCCAAGCAGAATAGTATAAATCAAAGCCCAGAGGAGAAAAATATATGTTTCAGAAGAAGTTTCTGGTGAGAACAAATACAATGAGAAAGGAAGCAAAAATTTCAAATTGGTATTTAATCACAGATAATACACTGGGAAATTTTATTTTGGATGAGAGAGTGATAAGATTGGAACTAACTCAGTAAAACTGAACACTTCTCTCTGGTGCTTTAATACAAGTGAGCTGTTCAGAGAAAAGTGCTGCCAGAACTTTGAAAGAGGTTTACACTGGGTCATTAAGAATGACAATGCATGGAACTGTGTAGAGAGTTGGGGAAATGTTGAATTCTGTTCTCTTCCTGATGTGTTTTGTAATTGTTGCAGCCTGCCAAACACACACATGCATGCGCACGCGCGCGCACACACACACACACACACACACACACACACGTTAGAATAACAATTTTAAACCTTTCAATGCAGTAATGTGTGAAACTTACTTGCTGATTAAGTGACCTTTATGCTATCTTTAACTTTGCATTATTTTTTAACAAAAATATTATGGCTTTCAGATCACTGTGCTACTTTGTGAAAATATCTTGTCCACATTGTGCAGTAGTTACCTATGAAATGACAAAGGCCTCTTGATACTAGATTTGCTAGCTTTAGAAATGTAAGTTATGGCTTTATATTTGTCATTCAGGTTTTTAACTTAAGCTTTCCTCTAGTTTATAACTATGTCAAAACTTGGGTCGCTGTCCTTATGGGAAACATGAGGAATTGGGGTAATCTGGGCTTTTAAAAATCTTATTCTAACAGGTTATTAGGAATACATAAAAAGTAAGTGGCAATCAGCCCAACAATGAAATCAGTTTTAAAAGTTTTAAATGTTTCTTTAACTTATCCAGATACTTCCATTAATCAAGCTTTTTAGCTTCCTAGGTCTTTTCCTTACTGGCCAGATTCTGTTCAGATTAGTTTAGCAAGCTCATATATTTACAAGCAAAGATATTTATTTGAATTAGTACTAGGAAATCCTTAATTCATATTTTCATATATGATACTCATACAACCCATTCTAAAAGAACAACTGGGACTAATTTAAACTCTTTATTTAGAAGAAGATGTGAATGAGTGTTTACCTTTGCCCAATGTTATTGTTGAAGCCTCTAGATAGTTAGTTTTTTAACCCAGAATTTATTCAATATTCATGAAACGTTTTAGTCTTCTCATTAGAAAACTTTCATTATCTGCTTCCAGGTAGCTTTCTAGTTGATTGATTTAGCTCCAAGAATTGGAATACTAATCATAGATGAAAGACTCTTACCTTTTCCCTAGCCAGTCATTTTGTCAGTGATCCCTTCCATCACTGAGAATATCGGGAAGATAATAATGATTGAGGATTATTCATTATTATTTATGGAAATTTTGTCATTGGTAATAGATTTATAATGTATGTAAAGCAACTAATAAAATGTCTGATTCAATAAATGTTCTACCCTTTCCTTTCAGTTTCCTTTAATTGGTTAATATACCTTTACTATTGATATAACAAATTAAAGAGTATATAAAGGAAAGCTCATTGTTAGCTATGAAGTACTATTCAAATTTAGCAATTGTTGCTAAAAATAAATCAGACTAAAAATAATATTTAAAAAAAATTTTATCCAATAATGGGCAAACAATATCAAGTCATTCTGGCTTTAAATAAAAGAAAAAACAATGCTTTATGCACTTCATTTGAAATTTAAAAATTAAACTACAAGTGAGATTATTATGAAATTTAAGGATGGACGAATGTGTACATTATTACAAATGCTTTAAATTCAACATTGTCATTTCAAACTCATGTTTGACACTAATAAAGTAGTAATAGTAGCTCTTATCATATCCATTGCCATAAATAAAAAGTGTATCCAAACTATAATTTGAAATCATAAAGTCATGAAAAACTGAATAGATTATAAAGCTGAAATTAAAGGGTATTAACTCACATGAGCCTGTGCTCACTGTAGACAGCAATTGTCTTCTTGAGGCATTATCTTGGCAAATGGGCAGTGTAAGCATTTAACAAATGCTCATTGATTTGATTGAATTCCTCTTCTCCTAAGCACATGCTGTCTTCTTAAAGACATGATGTTTTTTCTTGGAAGACTTTTTCCCTTCCCGCCTTCTGTAACTGGCAAAGTTGTTATTTGAACTTCCTGGTCAAATGAGAACTCATTGCTGGAACATTTGGGAATCTCACAGGCAGAGTTGGACACTGTCTTCTGTGATCCTTCTACTGCTCTATTATCCTGCCTAGACTGGGGTGCCCAAAGGAGGAATCACTTTTTCCCCTTCATCTGTGCATTCCCACAGTTTAAAACACAAGTCTTATTTTCTGTCTCTCCTGTTTATAATACATTTTTTCCTTGTAAACAGTGTTTTATTTTGTCAAGTAAAAATATGATTTATTATTTTATAGACTTAGAGTAGTAGATTTTACTAAAGAGCTTTCGTAATTTTGAGCATTTTAAAATGTGCAATTTATTTTCAGATAGTAATGAGTTAAATCTAGTTTTTCAGAACATATGTAAATATGAAGTAAAAATAAGCCAACACACAGCATAATAACTTTTTAAAAAAATTCATCCTATTTTCTGATGTCCTACTCTTTCCCCTCGTGCTACTGTTTAATAATGCTGTTACAATAAAACATTTTACAGATTCCATAATGATAGTAAATATAAGATTCATTGAGTGTTAATTTTTTTACAGTATCTATA